CCACGCTCAAAGCAGTATCTCCACCACCTTTTTTTGTTCTTCCCGTCGCGGTTCGTTCGTGGTAATACAAACAAGAGCTCTTCCTCTTTTGAGATAATCCAATCCAAGCCAATTTGAGACGAATATCGACTCGCAGACACCATGGCCGACATCACAGACCAGCACGACCAGACCTCTCCCACTGAGCTCGACGACTCACAGAACGTCGGCAATGGCAACGCCACTGAGTCTCGCGGCATCAAGCGCCAGCGTCCTTCAGCTGGCGACGACGACGACGACGATGACGAGAAGGGCAGTCGCGAGCGTCGCAAGATTGAGATCAAGTTCATCAGCGATAAATCTCGTCGACACATTACGTTCTCCAAGCGCAAGGCTGGAATCATGAAGAAGGTATGATCCCACCTCTCTACGATCCCAACAACACCAGGTTTGCTATGGCAGCCATGATGCTTGACCCCAAGTTTGAAATCGCGTGCACTTTGGACGCGCAAACTTCGACGTTTCTACTACACGAACCTTGAGCATCCACGGCCTCTTTGACGCATCTTGGTTGCTGTTTAGATCCCCGTCGCGTCAAAACAAGCTCCCGCGTTTGCTCGTCTGCGCCAAACTTTGGCGCAACCCGATTCCTTGTTGCACGGAAAGCTAATTTATTCATTCATCAGGCCTACGAACTCTCTGTCCTCACAGGTACCCAGGTTCTGCTTCTCGTAGTTTCAGAAACCGGTCTCGTTTACACCTTCACCACACCCAAGCTGCAGCCCCTCGTTACCAAGTCAGAGGGCAAGAATTTGATCCAGGTACGTAACTATTTGCTTGCCTGACATGGCAGATTCTGTCCCTTCACAGACCTTGGACTGATCATGACCAGGCTTGTCTTAATGCTCCTGAGCCCACTCCAGGCAACGAGAATGGGGTCGATGGCGGCGATCAAGTAGAGTCTCCAGAAGAACCACCTAACCAGCACCTCCCTCCTCAGGGCAACCGACCTGGCATGCCTCAAAACCCTCACATGCCCAACAACTACATGCCCAACATGCCCATGGATCCTCAGCAGGCTCTGGCTTATCAGAGCTACGTACAACGGAATCAGGCTTATGGCTCTGGCATACCTCCTCAACCAGGTATGCCTGCTAACAGTCATCACCAGTCATAATGACGTCCGACTCCAAAGATCGGTCTTCGGTCAATGATACCCGGCGCTCAATGCTTTCTCGAGACGCCGCCTCTCGACCTTGCACGCCCCTCCCTGACACCAGAGCTGTCTTGTGAGATCCCGGTGAAAAGGCGTTGGTTGGTGTTGATTTGCCACCTGCATTTCTCTTTGATTTTTGTTTTTAATTTTCTGAAATTACATCAAGGCTTTCAGGCCCCAGCGAAGTCTGACGAGCCTTTGAGCGGAAATATAATAATCGCATCTGGGAGCAGTGGATTTACGGGCAGTAAATCCCACCCTCGCGACCACGAATAACTACACGTGTCGCTTTCGAGATCAACAGTCTGCGGTCGATGCTGGGAGAACTCCCATGGTCAACAGCACTGTCATGGTTTCATGTGATCAAGGGCTCCGTGGAAGCTGGTGTCTTGACACCGTGGGACATTTGCGTGCGGTGGAAGCATGTTGAAGTGAAGAGGTGTTGTCATTGAAGAGCACGAAGAGGCGCGTTTGGCTTGTGAATTACATCAGAGTGTTTGGGATGGCAGGGAATGGATGGGATGAAGGCACGAACGTTTACGGAATGGGTACTTGATGCAGATTTGACGTCTATCATGGGCCAAAAGAGACGAAGGAAGGATGCTTTCAACGCGGTTTCTACCAAACTGTTCCTCTTTTCGCATTGAATGTCGAATGTAAATATGTATTGAACTACGGAGTAGTGAGCCAACGTCTTTGCGCTCAGGCAAGATGTTGCAAGTGGGTTATTTGAATTTGACCCAATGTATAAGTCAAACCCGGACTTTCCGAATATGGACATTCCACCGTTGAAAAGCTACTCTACCCCAGATTTGTAGGAACGGGGTTTCGAAATATGCTGCGCCTTATCTGGTGCAGATTGTATTCCACGCAAGTTAAAAGCCTAACTTCAGATCTGGCGAATCATTCTTTTTGCTTGACTCTAGGTCCCTGGTCTGAACCTTGAAAGGATTGAGGAAGGTTCAGGCTTGTTAGATGTAAATGTTATTGTAATGGATCTCTTACCGCATTTGGAGAGTTGGTGGCATATGATTGGGAGGTTCTCTCGGCCGGTAAGATCGATCGTGTGCGGCGGCGCCCATGTGGAAACTTTGCTGTTTCTGTCATAATTTCTTTTCTTCTTTCAGCGTGTGCGCGTGGATTGACAAGATGAGATGACGTTGCATGAAGGAAAAGAGTACCTACGACAGAAACGGTTTGGGGTCGGCCTTTTCCACTTTGGTGGTGAGGTGGGGATGAAGGATCATCTTGGCTTAGTTGGGATGAGTCGATAGATCAAGTCAGAGTCAGACGTGTAGGTGTGTGGAAGTTGGCAATGAGGCCTTGAGGCAGACAGCAGATCAGTACTGTATTGGGGACAGACCCGCGCTGAGGCTGCTGGTATTTCTTGCAGTCAGTGAGGTATCTAATTTCCCTTGCTAGGGAGCCGATAACTCTACATGAACTCTGTGACCTTGCATCAAACGGTACTTCACTAGAATATATAGTCATGGTATAGTTCGCTGGAGTAAGTTCACTTCTATAACGGCGGGAGGCTTACAGGCAGTCCTGCGTTAAGACGGATAAGCATAACCTTCCACTCCCACGCATGCTAGCCACAGTCAGCCATGATACAATTGTATAAGCACTTACAGTTCGCAAAAGTGCTAACTAAGCCACCTCTTACACGAACTCGCCAAAGCTCCAGTGTTGTTCAATCGTAAAAGGCTGAATATTGTCAAGTTTGAAGCCAGGAGAGCTCAAGCTGTTACATCAGGCTGCGGATAAGGGTGGAAGGTGACGGGACGAGAACCACAATGTATTACAGATCATAACATAAAATATAAGTACGTGCCATTAAGTGTGTGCTGCTTACTTCTATTCCTCAAATAGCCAATTTCCTAAGAACATAGTCTGCTCAGATATCATATAGTGTCCTTGAAACTATGACCTTGTCTGGATATGGTTGGAGGACTTATGAGATAACCTCGAAGATAAATACACCCAGACTCACTTTTTACCATAAGAGAATATGGTCCGAGTATGTTCATATAAGCATTGTCTATAGACAGCGGCATCGAGGTGAAACATTACCAACTCTCCAGCTCATCCACACTTGCAACGAAACGCATGCAACTCGCTATTGCCCACGATACGATAAAAATGCCATTTTACTATATGCAGAATGCAAGATTACTGCAGACAATAAAGTTAGCTGTAATATATTTGCCTCGGCGAAGATCCGAAGAGTGAGGAGAAACGAGTCGCCTTCCGTGGCCAGGAGCACGCGGCACGAAAGCCTTCTTCCAGCATCAAGACTGAGATGAAGAATAAGTATAGGTGAGCTATGAAGGTGCCTCGGTCCAGCGTTTAATAAGGCGGTGGTAGAGGCAGTGAAGCTCGTGGTGATGAGTAGTTGGTCGTGGTTGGAGCCTCAAGGAGCAAGAAAACTCCTGACTTTGATTCTGCAAACCTAGATAAAATGACCCAAGAGTCTACTTAAATATACTAAGATATTCAAATTTACCTATATCCTTCTTCACATTTCGGAAAACGCTCCGTTTCCTTGCCGACTCCTGTCAGGTAACAATCTTAGTCGTCAGCCATCACACACCCTAACAAAGCGTCTTATGAGGCTGGAGCGTTGCCGATAAGGGATTATTCTTCAAAGGATCTTTCTCTGTCTATAAGGATCATAAAAAATCCAGTACAGCCGGCTACTCGACGGAGTCCATCAACAAATTCTCGTAGCTCGTCCGAACGATGCCCACGATGGTAACTGTCTCGGAATTGAAGAGCATCCGCCGACGGTTCTCACCCGACCCAAGCCAGGTAGGAGTTCTGTAGCCGTTGTTCCTCTGAGCAATAATCTCATGTCTCGTTTCAGCACAGCATACATAGTGATGATGGGGATGGATCCACGCCTAACCTTGACGACTTAGCTGCGTTGAAGTTCTTCTGCATCTTTGGCATATAGGGGAGGCAAAAGGTATTAGGTAAGTTAATCTAAGCTGAGGGATCTCTTGACTCTCATTCATGAGTTTATTTTGGCCGCCGCCTCTGCTGACTGAAGTTTTATTGCTCCCTTGAGGCATTTGAAGACGCTTGCCTCTTGGTAATATGGATGGCCAACGATACTGCAAGGCGTGCAGTTCCCAAATTCGCTATGACGTGCCGATTTGCACTTCTTGGATCTCTAGGACATCAATAATGATGCCCTGCCCCTTGTGAAACTCCGGTGTACGTACGAGAGTCTTCTCTTCCTAGGAATAAGGTACTTTACCCACCTAGGTTTGCATGCAAGGAGAGGTAACTAAACTCGGAACCTCTATCCTATTGATAAAAAGTCTTAGGTAAACTCAGTGTAGATTGAGTGGACTTTGGACTAATCATTTTTTTGGCATCTTGATTTATCTTGTGTTGCCAGTTTTCTTGCGCCCCTGGGGCTATGTTCGGGTGTGTTTCTGTCGTATGCAGTTCTCGTACCACTAGTACCGCTTTGTCATGGTCGTGATGGTGAGCAGATTTGAGAAGGTTTTCGGCTTTCAAACCCCGCTGACGTACCGGTACAAAAGTGACATGCGAATTTACACCCAAACGACAAATGAAATACTAACGCATGGGACTCAAAGCATAGAGGAGAACATCAATAAAAATGAGACAGAAACACCTGGTGACCTTTATTAAATGCTGTCATATAAACTTGGTCGCGTGCTCGTGTCATGCTGATTTCGATCGAAAAACCCGAACGCCGCCCATTCCATTGCGAGAATTACCACATAGTGGTGTTCCCGGCCTCATCTAGTATCAAGCTCCGATTATGTCTCTAATGCTCGACTGTTGGTATGTATCGACCGACGGCTAGGCTGCCAACAAAGACACCAGCCAGGACGGAGAGGAAGTAGCCGACATTCATCGTCATAACGGCCAACATGCTGTAAGACACGATTAGCATATAGTCCAGTCATAATCAAGCTCTCGGGGCAATGCGCAGACATACAGAAGATATCCAATCCCGACGATCATGGTATCAAGACATGCCCGAACCGGGTCAACACTGAACCTCCACGGTCTCGTCGCTGCTCGTTTCCTTTCCACAACTACGACGGTTTCTTCGAGACCGTTCTCCGAGAGGGTCATGCGGCGCGCGTCGGGGCTGGAAGCTATCTGCTCCGACAAGGGGATCTTGCCATTGACAGCCACGTAACGGCGCGCAGCTTCGCGATCAAGCCAGCGAGCTTCTTGGACAGCTTTGAATGCGACGAGGGCCCGCGCAATGATGGCAAGAACAGCCAGGAAAATACATGTCCCCGCATAGGAACCTGCATTATTTGGTGTCCACGAGTTGGCGTACAGCGGTGTGCGAGTTTCGGTTTGGAAGACCATGGTCATCATGCTTGACCCGTGCGACGACGACGAGGAGCCGGATGAGTCGTCGCCCATATCCATGCCTGGCATGTCGTGCCTTGGAAAGTTCATGTCGATAGTAGTCGTAGCAGAAAGACGGTTCGCAAACAGCAGGGCTGTTTGCGGATTATGGATAGATCGATGTTTTGGGACGCACGAGGGCTCTGGGTCCTAGCAAGTGGTTTCTGGACGTTGTATCTATAGAAAATAAAGCACAGGGCTAATAAATTCGTAGAATTTCCAGTATATTGTGTTGAGTGTGGTGAATGAATGAATAAATGGTCTGTGAAAGAGGAAGGGAGTTGGGCTACGGCAGGCGTATCGATCGAGAGTCAAATAATCACAGAAACGATCCGGGGAAGCCAGCTGCCGGTAATAAGTAAATTACATGTTCAAGGACTGCTTTTTGAGGGCGAGGGACGATGTTATACTTTCTTGCTCAAATAAACTCATTTCTGTGTACCAGGGTGCATTAACCGTTGCATCAATGAATGTACCTATACTTGGCGAATGTACCACTGACTGCCCCGCTTGACAGTTCCCGTCAAATCGAACAACACCAGTCAACTACCTACATATCAATTTGAAGTTCTCCAATTACCTTAGTTAACTCTCCTTGGCCGAGAGATTCCACATTCTGGGTATATAATTGCATTTCTCGCAAGTGATAATGAAGTCCAGTGCTTTCTCAAAGTCAGAACTTGAGCAACATTCTTGCCACTGAGCAACACATCTGCTGCAGTGCCGACTCCTAATGCTGCCATCTTAGATTTCCACGGCAAAGCAACCTGAAACAGGCTCGATTCGGACTCATACTATCCCGAGGGATGCTGATTGTGCCGGATGATTCAAAAGAAAGTCCGATTGTAACAGCTCAGTATCAAGTTCGAATGCTTATGCGCCGTTGTCTTTCTTCCCTACAAGATGCTTTCCGAGCTGGTACTGGTTCATGGTGATACTTCCATGACAATGTTGCTCTTATACAAGGATACGCGCTCGCTCATTCACATCCCTAAATTCGGCTTTTACTATTTCCTTGAAACGAGGCTGTTGTGCTTCATGTCCATGATCAGGCAGTGACTTCGCGCCCGATGAGGTTGGCTCGTTAAAGGTCATGCATGGAGTCAGTATTCCAAGAGCACCCTATCATAAGTGTACACTCAGCATCACAGACCTGGATGACAGCCTATAGGAGCCTCTATACATCCTATCAGGCCTTTTCAAGGGCGAATCCATGCTAGAAATATAGTTGAATTCTCGGGAGGAATGCAATGGCTTCTGCTCCCCAAAATCTCAAAAGATCGCCGTTCGCACAAGTGGCTACGGAATACCTTTCAGTAACTCATCACTTTCCGGTTCGATACACGAATATATTCAGGCGGAGTGCTATAAGTTCCGGTGATACAGGTTTGTAATCACGTATTCCAGATCTCTACGAAAGAGGCTTATTGGAAGATGCCTCCATTCCGGGGAGTTCATCGTTTCGCTTCTTGGCCTGACAGCATAATTTTCGACGACCTTCGCCAGTTAAAGATCGCTGATAAGGTCCGTGGTATTTAAATGTACTTAAGTTTGGGATGTTCTCTTCATACTTCCTCGACATGTTCATATCTCCATATACCGGGTTGCTACAGAACCGCCAGGCTTGTCTGCATAGCTTTATGAGGCAAAAGTGCTCGACTGCCACATAGTGTATATAAACTTCCTGAAGGAATCGGACGCCAATGCATAGAAGTTCCCCAGTCTCAGGAATAATCCCTAGGACATAACAGTGCCAGGCACCGTTGGTCATGCCATTTATCTCGGGTTCACCTCTCTGGTCAAATCCTCCAGCTCCTGACCCTCCACCGGAAATATGATACTGGTATTTGGCCAATATGTGGAAAGTAGTAGCAGTGGATGCTATTATATATATGTTGGCCGGCAAAGCTGAAGATCACTGTTTCATTGACGAGGCACATTCGCCAGTGCAATGGCAGTTTTCTATACACTTTCTCAAACTCCTCACAACGCCCCCTAATAATGAGGTATCTTATTAGATGTTATGATTAAGTCCGATCAACGCAGAGGTAGTTCGAGTCGGCTTCAACTTAGTAGTCACGAGAACTAGCAGAAGAATTGGTGGTCACCTGTGTAGAAGAAACACGTCGACTCGTGGGATTCAGTTACTCATGACTTCTATTTACATACAACCTCATACAAATGTACCCATCAACTCTTTCTCACCATCAGTTATTATTCACCCATTCCTTGCGTCTACTTCAAAGTTTGTGCGTACATGGATGACTTCCATGAATATGCTTTCCTCATGGATGTAAGTCACCTTACCCTAAAGCAAAGGAGGCAAAGTTACCGAGACAAACCTCTCAAGCTCCCGTGATTTTCTGAGTGTCATTGTATAGAATCATTACGTATGAGCAGTCGCGATCTTTCTTTGACTAGAACGGTGCGTAATAATAAAGGTTTGATACCGGAAATGCCTTGGAACGACCATCACAGCCGACTTCCACCAACTTCAGCCGCGATTTTCTTAAAATCATGATACCGAAAGGGACCTTCTAAAGATATCATATGGCAATACTTGTTATGCAGAATTGGGCAATTCAAGAGTACACTGTCTCAGTTATCATTTAGGACTTCTCCCGACCTGGAAAGAAATCGAGAGTAGCGGGTTTGGTTCCTGTTATTCAGCAATTTAACTATAGAATTCCTTCTGCTCGTGAATTATTGATCTACACGTGAATAAATAACTCTTCGCTTTGGCAGGCGAAAACAGTGTGTAGTCGCCAGGATTTATCTCATATTTGGGTACGCTGCTGGTGTAATGGCCTTTCTTGTTCGTGTATATATTTTACTGGCCTCCATGAGGTGTTGGAGGAGACAAGAGGTAGGACATCACTTCCTACCGGGACGATGAAGAGATAAGGAAGCAATGATGCCATGTGTAGGCTTACTGATCAGCGTATGATATTTTAAAGTGTTACGTGTGGTATCCAAGTACTTAGCCAAGGACGGACGTTGTACCGTGGTTTGAAGTTTCTCACGGAGCTGGGCTTGTACAAAAGGTAGATATAGGCTCAGCTGCCACGAAGGTATTAAATGAAAATAGAAAAGTAGGCAAGACATGTTTGATTAAACATTACAGCCTTGCCCTTACAAACCCGCGTGTGTTAGTGAATCAACATGCCAGTCCAGATCCGAGACCGGATCTGTCTTTGGACTGCTCGCAAGATTCTACATCATCTCAGCGAAACCGTTCAAACAAAACAAGCTCTCAAGCCATTGAGCTTGAATGCATCACAGCAAATACAATACTCAGAAGCATGATAGGTAAGTAGTAGGAGTCCCACACACGGAATATGCCTGTTGGATCACAGCTCTGCACAATCTCGTTGAGATGTGCCTTAGACATGCAAGGCCAAGTAAGCGAACGTTCATGCCCACGTCTTAAGCCAACGCCTCTCGTTTGACATGATATTTTCGACTGTTTAATAAGAAAGGTGCCGTGTTGGCTACTGGAAGCCGTTCTTCGCCCGACACCACGTAAGTTGTCCAAATCTTCCTGAGTGCCCTGCACTACGGCTCTTGTGCACTAATCAAACCGACATGGATTTATCGTTCAGATGAAATACATTCTGACTGAAGAGACAATCATCTTGAACGGGTTCAGCCGCCATCTACGACATTAGAACCGGGACCGGAACTGGTGGGTGCACTCCTCAGCAACGATGACCGGGAGCGACCAAAAGGCTTACAGTATGGACAAACAAGTCTCCATGCATAATAAACCCTGTGATTATTGGACTCGGTAAGTTTGGATCTACCAAGTAAGCGACAAGGAGTATCGAATAGTTATGCTACCTGGCTACCTAACCTGGTCCCCCAACCATTCTCACAGTGCACACACTCCGTAGGCGCTCGGGGCAGAGGCAGGCTGCCATTACGAGCTGAAGGTTTCACGGCAGTAGGCATCGCTATCGCAGGCTGTGACATTAAGAAGGAGTATTCACAGACTTGTGTTATCGCTTAGGATGATACGAGTTAGCTGGACATAGAAAATCCAATTCCCCCACGCTCTACGGAGATGTGAATCAGCATACAGATCCAATGTTATAAGTGCTGTGATAAATTTAAATGAATTGGATATTTCAGTGCATGGGATGGCTGCATGTGTGATGTGGTCCCCGAAAGTTGGATGTCAGCTCGTACAGCACACATTGGAATTCGCAAGGCGCGGCTCCAGCGCCGACTGCAGACTGGGCTACTTTCGTTTACCGGTTGCCGTGAAGAAAAAGAAAGTCTGCAAATATGGGATGGATGGATGTCTCGACAGGGAGTAAAACCTGGATGACCAATCATGAGCGGCCGCCCCTGACGAGGGGTGTGCATTGGTTATCATATCCATCTGGTGTCTCCTTACCAAATTGATTGTCTTGCAACACTTCCGAACTCCGCCAAAAGGTTGTACTCACCTCCGGTTGGGTTTGGTCAGAAGCAGGTTGAGTCTATGGCAATTTGATATCATATGATAGCCACTCCAACGTCTTGATAAACGACTAAAGAGTTTTGGGTAACTTAGCCTAAGGGAAGGGCTTGGAGACGAAACGCCACCAGGAACGATCTGCACAGGGATTCATTCTCTATGCAGATCTGTGCCATTTGCGGTTGCTTGGTGTTGGAAGAGATTGCTCCGCCGTTGTAACCAGATTACCTAGAACAAGGCAGCGGACCCGTTTAGAATCTGACGTATGTTGTAATAAGCCATTGCAGAAGATCGAAGTTCTGCCCCTGATGATGAAAGCCCCTCTTCCAGGCTGTCCCGCCGTCTGTGAACGGAGATTAGCAAGATAATGGCAACTCTCAGACACTAACGAGTTTCTTTGAGGGCTGAGCAGCCAAGATGTAGATCACAAGTGCCGAACGGCGGTTCTTCCATACACGCGTCAGTTGCCGGCAGGACGACCAACAATAGCGCCTGCCATCGATGGAGGCCTGCCCCTTTCAAAGAGACACGGGCACATCGTAGTAATAAAGTTACGTTACTCCGTACAGATGGAATAATCCGATGTAGT